GTGTTTGACTCCAGCTTAGAAGATGGAGCAGACATGATCGTTCTTGTGCTGCTCAGGAAGAAAACAGAACATCTGGTGAGGGCTGTGGCTCACTAGTAGAGCATTTGCCTAGTGTGCCCAAGACCCTGGGCTGGATCTCTAGCACTGCAAGAAAGCAAGACCACATCAACAGAACCTTCTCTGGAAGCGAAAATCACAGAAAGGTCTTCTCAAATGTCAAGCATTGAATTTGCCACCGGGGTTCTCCCGATTTCTCTGTGAGGCTCTTTCCATCATACCAAAAACACTAGACACACACAACACAACACATAGTCAACATGCACCACACACACATACACACCTGTGAACACACAGAACCACACACTCACACGGGCATACCCTAACCAGCACCCATATGCAACCCACACATACACCCCACACACAAATACACACTCAAGCACACTCAAACATGGTATGACACACATACACACACATGAAAATACTTCCACACACAAATGCAATACACACATGCACACACTCAGACTTACCACTGGGATTGCAGACAGGCAGGAGGAATGACCATAATTTTGGTGTCCTGTTGCCACACGATCCTCCGAATTCCCTGTCTCTTCCTGTGGGGCTGACACAACATAGTCTCCCCCCGGGAGACAACGGAAGAGCCAGACCAAAGTTTCCAAGAAATACGAGCTCATGGAGGACAAGGACGAGCTTTGCTTGCGGCTTCCTGGCAAACGTGATCCCTGCTCTAGAACTGCCTTCACCCGACAGCTCTGCCAGTGAGACAACAAACCGGAAACAGGAACAAGGAAGTCAAGCGCTTGCGCTTCAAGCCCTCAGAAGCAGGAGAAAAAAGCAAAACAAACAACCAAAAACCCAGATACTAATGTTGAATGCAAAATACTTAGAGGCTTAAGAAGATTTCTCATAAAAATTGCACTAGGGATACAAACTTTCTTTTTTCAGTCTTTCCCTGTCTCTGGCTCTCTCTTGTCTCATTAATTCTCCCTGTCTCTGTCTTTATCTTTCTCTCTCTCTTGATAGAGATACAGATGAAAATATAGATATAATTATCCCTTGGTATCTCTGGGGGGTGGATTTCTGTGGACACTCAAGCCCCGTACATAAAATGATGTGTTTGCTTGCAACCTATATATCTTCCTCTATTCTTTAAATTATCTCCAGATTACTTACAATAGCTAACACGGTGTATCTGCTTCCCCAAAAGTGGCTCTGATGTGTGGCTTGGAGAATAATGATGAAGAAAAATGTCTCAGTACAGACTCAACCACAGAAAGTCTCACTACATTTTAGATCTGCAGTTGAGAGAATTCCTGGATGTGGAACCCATGGATGCAGATTTGTATGGCTGTAGACAGAGATGTAATACAGAGACAGAAGTAGAGAGAGAGTGTAGAGAGAGATGTGCTATTGCTTCCGTTTCTCTGAGACTTTGGCCAATACCCATGGAACCACAGTAACACCTCTAGCTATTGAGCTGGGCCCAGTTGAAACCCAGCCATACCTGGGTGGGGGAGAGTGATAAATATGGTAAACATGTAAGTGAGCATCTGGATTCAAACACATTGTTGTAGGAAAAGACAATACCACCAGTCCCCTTTGTGATTGATTTTGTGTGAGGTTGAATTTTACTAGATGCTTTTTCAAAACTGGAAAACAACGAAATGTCTTTATCCTTACATTTATTAAGGTAGTGAACTGCGTCAATAGATTCCTTCATGGTAATTCACTTTCCCATTACCAGAATAATCTTTCTTGGTTTTGTGTGTGTGTGTGGGGGTGTGTGTGTGTGTGTGTGTGTGTCCTGGGTGCTATCCCTGAGTTTCTTTTGCTCAAAGCTAGTGCTCTACCATCTGAGCCACAAATCCACTTTCAACTTTTTGATAGTTAACTCATGAATTTTCCTGTGTGTGCTGGCTTTGACTGAGTTCCTTAGACCTCAGCCTCCTGAGGAGCTAGGATGACAGGCAGGAGTCACCATTGCCTGGTACTGCATTTCCTTTTTAATATATCACTGAATTTTATTTCTGATATATGCTGATTATTCCACCGGTAATTGTATGGACCCTCCATACTCGTGAAGTATAGTTATAAACACCCTAGGTGAATACTTATAAATATCCTAATACTGTCTGCCAATAGCATTAAGATGCTTCATGGGTAGGTAACAGGTATCTTGAAACAGAACCTTTTTCCTTTCTCCTTCTGAGCTCTACTGATTTCACATATCTGTATGCGATGATTGTGCAATGCATTGTTGTTATTATTATGGACAATCTACTGGACCAATTATTAAAAAGAAAAAGACTTTTCTCTGTTCTTATTCCAACATTTTTCCCCCTCAATATAGATCTAAGTGTCTGGCCCACATCAATTTTCTTCTCCCTGAAACATTTCTTTCAAATTTTTTTTCTCAAGGAAAGTTTGCTGGGAGACATGTTCCCCCCTGTTTCTGTTTTTCTGTGAAAGTCTTTATCTTTCCTTATGATTAGCGGATAATGTTGCTTCAGCTAAGATTGAGTAGGGTTTGTGCCTCATTGTTTCAACAATTCCAATCTCTCACTCCTCTTTTCTTGTTGGCATGATTTTGAATGAGTTACATTCTTATTCTGTAGGTAAAGGATTTTGTTTGTGTTGGCCATGGGGCTTGAACTCTGGGCCTGGGCGCTGTCCCTGAGATCTTCAGCTCAAGGCTAGTGGTCTACCACTTAAGCCACAGAGTCACTTCTGGTTTTCTGGTGATTTTTTTTGGGGGGAGGGTCTGGTCGTGGAGCCTGAACTCTGGGCCTGGGTGTTGTCCCTCAGCTCTTCAGCTCAAAGCTAGCGCTCTACCACTTGAGCCACAGCACCACTTCCAGCTTTTTGCTTTTTGCTTATGTGGTGCTGAGGAATCAAACCCAAGGCCTCAGGCATGCAAGGCAAGTGCACTACCACTTAGCCACCTTCCCAGCCCTCTGGTGATGTTTTGGAAATACGAGTTTCATGGACTTTCCTGCCTGAGCTGGCTTCAAATCATGATCCTCTGACCTCAGCTTCTTGATTAGCTAGGATTATAGGCATGAGCTACAGGCGCCTGGCAGAATTTTTTTTTTAAGATTTTCTCTTTCTCTTCAGTTTGCTGCAATGGAACATTCTGTGTCTCCTGTAGTGTTCTACTTAGTATCTTCATGTTTTCTGTGTCTGTGATTTGGTACCTGTCATTAATTTTATGAAGTTCTCAATGACTGTTATTCCAAATGCTGTTTGTATTCTGTTCTCTCCTTCTCCTCCTTCTCAGCAATAATCTGCAAGAAACACAAAGTCTATTAATAAAATCCAAATGAACTGGTGTGTACTCCCCGCAATAGGGTATAACCGTTGATAGCTACATATTGCAATATGGAAACTGCTCGAGGCTCACAGTATGTGAAAAGAAACAAGGCAACAGTGTATGTCTTTCAGTGTGTGAGCCATTGCATTACAGCACAAACAAGTTAACTGATCTACACTATAGAAATCTGGCTAACGCCACCAGACTGGCCAGCAACAAGGGACTTCTGGTGAGGCTAACAATGTCCTATTTCTGTGTCTGAATTCTGGTTGCTTAATGGCATTCAATTTGTGACAACTCATTGAACTATAAAATTATACATGACCTTTTTTGCCATGTGTTTAGTCTTCAATAAAAGCCTTAGAATATGAAAAAAGAGGAAAGTACTACTGATAGACACAGGCACACAGCCATAAAAACTGTCGAAGTATACTTGAATGAAAAGCTCTGTGTCACACAACAATCAGTAAAATCTTCCTAAATGCATTTTTGTTTTTTTGATCATAGGACTTGAACTGAAGGTCTGTGCACTGTTTCAGCATTTTTTCCCCCTCTCAACACTGGTGCTCAACCAGTTTGAGCCCCAAAGCTCCACTTTGGATTTTGAGTTGCTTAATTCTTTTTTTTTTGGTCCAGTTGTGGGGCCTGAACTCTGGGCCTGAGCACTGTCCCTCAGCTCTTTAGCTCAAGGCTAGTGCCCTACCACTTGAGCCACAGCGACACTTCCAGCTTTTTTCTTTTTGCTTGTGTGGTGCTGCAGAATCGAACCCAGGGCCTCATGCATGCAAGGCAAGCACTCTACCACTGAGCCAACTTCCCAGCCCTGAGTTGCTTAATTCTTAAAAAAAAAAGTTTATTATTACTATAGAGGTGATGTTCAGAGGGGTTATGATTACATAAGTCAGGTAAAGAGTGATTTTTTTTGGACAGTGCTACCCCAGGTGGTTAACTCTTAAGAGCCTTGGGAATGTATGTTCTTTAAATTGGAGAGGGAAGTTAGCTGTGAAGCACCTGGAATTACAGCATGGTGCTATGTGGCACAGATACCAGGGTCACACCCAGACTCTTCCATCACCACAGTCTCCATGATGCAAGCCCGGAGCGTTCCTCCTCCTGACCCGCAGCTACCCACTAATCCAATAGAGACCTCTGGAGCACAGTGGGCAGACTGACATGGAAATGGGCTGGTACCAGAGCCATTCAGGATTGGAGCAATACCTGTAGGCCAGCGAGGGAGGCCAGAGATGCCGGGCAAGGCCTAGGGGCTCAGCCTCATGGAGCTCAGGAGGGAAAGGGAAAGTGAGGGTCTGGAGAGATCCCAACAGGGAAGGCCTTCCGACTGCTGAGCTGACCAGCCATAGGAGGTGAGCGGCCTTGGGCATCGGCCCTGACCTTGAAAGGAGACTCTAGGCACCTGATGTAGGCAGCTGAGGCAACCCCAGGACTGGTTCAAAGTGAGAGGAGACTCTGCTGGGATCACTGCCCTGTCCCAGGGTCTTCAGAGCCACCAGAAGCAAACACAGCAGTGGCCATTCCATTGGCAAAGAGGAACAGATCTGCCTCAGGCAATACTGCAGGCCAGCTGCTCTCCAGGAGCTTCCTCTTGCCGGCTGGCCCCTCCCCCAGGGCCTGGCTTCCGGGGGCTGAGAGCTGGGCAGCCCAACCATGTCAGACCAAGCTTCCCTTCAGACTGGAGCAGGGGCAGCCGACCACCAGCTTCACTGGGGAGGGCTCCAGAGCACGGCAGTCCTGCAGGAGAAGGTGAGGCTGGCCAGGAAGAGGCCATGCAGTTCACAGGGTGAGGGAGAAGGGCTGGGTGGGCCACGGTGGCCCACTGTGTGGGCTCCAGGTACATTCTGAAGGAGTGGGAAGGCATCAGAAAGCCTCTGATGTCCGTCTCAGGAGGACGTTTACCCAATTCCCAGAGCACAGGACAGACCCGTGCTTCCCAGGCACCTGCTACCTGTGCCTGCGTGATGTTTGCCCAAAAGCTGATCAGGCTCCTTCAAAAGGACTCTGTTTCCCCCCAAGGTAGATCTTCAGAAGGAGGAGGCGGGTGTCAAGCCACCAAGTGTCAATGAGTTCTAACTCTCTTTCATTCTGAGAACAGTTCTCAGTAAACTGATGAGTTTGCAAATGAAGCCGAGCTAGAGGAGATGGTGGAGATGGCACTACAGTCCTGTGCCTGACTCCATATGGAGATCCCCCAGCACAGCCCAGGGAGGAGGCTGGGACCCTCCTGGGAGAGAGACAGAGGGAGGGGGACTCAGGGGCAGGACTGACTTCTGAAGGCACTGTGGGAGCCGTTATTCCAGCTCAGTCTGAGCGGTTATGTGGCTCTTTGTGCCTCCATTGCTTTCAGTTCATATTTTCCTTGGTATCAGTGGTTGGGGATAAAAAACATTTTGATCCTGAGTAGCAACCACATTGTGGTTTCTGTGAGAGATCTTCATAGAAGTTTCTCCAGGGAGATTCAGGGCAGATCTGCAGGTTTCTGTGTCCCGGCTCACAGCAGAGGGGACAGAATCTCACAGGGCACCAGGGATTCTCAGAGTGGCCATCTGTGCGCGGGCTAGCTCTGCCCTCTTGCTAAAGCAATTCCCCGTGCACTTGCTTCTCAGCCGTGCTCTTTGCTGAGGCCCTCTGGGTCTCCCAAGAGGCGCTCGGGGAAGCTTGGGAGTGACTGCTTCTGTTGGTCTGTCTTGACTTGGTTTGTTGGGATGGAGGAGGGAGAAAGGCCAGGGAGACAGAGGCAGCCATGCCCTGGCCTCCCTGCTGCAGGCGTGTGCCCAGCGCTCTGCCTGGAGGAAGGAGGCTCCTCCCCTGCCGCCCCTCTCTGCTTCTGATTTTACAATCACAGCTGAGAAGCTGCTTGGCTGGGGTCACCTCGTGCTGGTTGACAGGGAATGTGCTGGAATCCGATGGTCTGAGTCCCTGCTTTGCCCAACAAAGAGGAAGCAGAGGTGGTGGGCAGCTGTTTTGGCTTTTTTCAGTCATCCTGTCCTTGCCCATAAAATTCGGGTAAGAATCGTTCTTCCATCCTGGAGTATTTCTGAGATAAATTATTCCTGTGGAACCTTCACATACAGTCATGTAATCAGTCGTGGTTACAAGTGCATATGCCCACCTCAAGTTTTTAGTAAAGAAGATGTCACAGATTTACAAAAGTTGAGTGTAATGAGTACCTGTCTCTATAACCAAGCTTTGACAATGGCCCACACCTGGCCACTCAGGCTTTAGGTTTCTAACAGCCCAGTTCTCCTCCCACCTCCTGGATTCTTTTGAAGCTAGTGTTACATTTAATATAATCTTATCTGTCAATATTTTAGAACATATATTAAAAATAATTATCTTATTTATCATGGTCACTAGGTCAAAGATTCAGTAACTATTTAAGTTTTATAAAATATGCAGTCAGACTTCCTATTTCATAAACTGTTTACAATGCATTGATAGATAATTCTGAGCGAAGCAGGAAATTAAGTCCCGTAAACTGATCCCTGCTCATTCTATACATTTTTGCCCCTCCCACCCCCAAATTTCAAGTGAGCTCTTTCCCCAAAACCCCTGATTCCATTGGTGGGGAATGGTGCACCTGAAGCCTGTGACTGAGCTGAGAGTTGGTCACTGCTGTCACGACGGCACCATTTCTCATCCTTCCATCTGTGTGCGTGTGTGAGCATTTTATGTATATATATATATATATATATATATACATATATATATATTCAATATACATGCACCTAGCCTAACATCAGGATATCAATACCAGCATTATTACTGATGGCATGATTATGAGTACTTTTAAGAGATCCTAGTTCTTTCTGGTTTTGGCTACAGTCCTGTGGCAGATCTGCAAATAATTTAAAACGCCTTTAAAGACATAGAGATACACAGTTATATTCACGTGTCCTACTTTACTTTTGACTTGGGGAAGTTAACATTCATATACTTCTGTTTTAAAATCATTGCCATGTTTACATCACTCTCAAATCAAATCTACAGGGCAGTCGATTTGGACACATGTGCAGTCTCTCCTGGTCCTGCTAACTTCTTTCCTACCTGCATACCCAGGAACCATTCTCCTCCTTTCTTCTTTATTTATGTATTTCTGCAAAGCATATACCATCTAACTATATTGCCTATTCCTTCCCCACCTCAAACCCAATCAAAGTGTGTCTTGTATTACCTCATTGGTGGATGGTATTCTATGCATTGTTCTGTTTTCCTCTGAAGATGCGCTGCACTAAGATACTGGGATCCTTCCCCATCATTGAGTAGCGAAGGTCCTCATTTCCTCACACAACTGGAAGCACAGCACATCTCATCTGTGCTCTTACCTGAGCTCTTTCCACCTGTGTTCCAGTCATCCCAATTAGGGATAGTTTCTCTCTGGCTTTTACAAGCATTCTTACAGATAGGAGTTTACATATAAAAAAAGACTCCTTTCTCTGTATGTGTGCCCCGCCTTCTCTCTCTCCCCTCTCTCTAATTAACTTACAATACCACCAGAAGCTCTACCACTGGCGCCCTAGGGCCTCACTTTGTGCCTGGGAAATCACCTCTGTTTATTACTGCCCCTGCTCTATCCTCTCAGAATGAATTAAATCCCATTGATGTCTTTCTCTTCAATCCAATTTGGGCTCAGCTTGATTCCACCCTCCTCCCTTCCTCCTGCATTGTCAGCATCCTTCACACTGTCCCTTTCAGTCACCCTTCCCGGGCGCTCCCAGGGGAGTTGATTCATTTGTTTGCTTACTTGTTTGTTTGTTTGTTTTGGTCCTACTAGCAAGGTGGAGGATCTTTTCATGTGTTTGAGGGCCAGGAGGGATGTGTTCTATTTTTTTTTGGGGGGGGGGTCCAGTCGTGGGCCCTGAACTCTGGGCCTGGACGCTGTCCCTCAGCTCTTCAGCTCAAGGCTAGCGCTCTACCACTTGAGCCACAGCGCCACTTCCGGCTTTTTTCTTTTTGTTTATGTGGTGCTGAGAAATCAAACCCAGGGCCTCATGCATGCAAGGCAAGCGCTCTACCACTGAGCCACCTTCCCAGCCAAGGGATGTGTTCTATTTTATCTGAGTCATTTTCATTCTTTTAGTCCACAGAGTGCCCGGGTTCCTGAGGCTGAATTCCTGTGGCCAGCATGGCCGAGTCCAGGGATAACTCTCTTCGGATGGTTCTGGTCGGGAAAACTGGAAGTGGGAAAAGCGCCACAGCCAACACCATTCTTGGGAAAGAAACCTTTGATTCTAGAATAGCTGCCCAGGCCGTCACTCAGACCTGCCAGCGGGCATCCAGAACATGGAAGGAGAGGGACCTCGTGGTGGTGGACACCCCGGGGCTCTTTGACACCAAGAAAACCCTGCACACCACCTGCATGGAAATCAGCAAGTGTGTCCTCTCTTCCTGCCCAGGGCCTCACGCCATCATCCTAGTTATGAAGCTGGGCCGATACACAGAGGAAGAGCAGAAAACTGTTGCTTTGATCAAGGCTGTGTTTGGGACAGCAGCCATGAAGCACATGATTGTTTTGTTCACTGACAAAGAAAGTCTGGAGGGCTTGAGCCTCAATGACTTCTTAAAGGAGGCAGATGTGGATCTGAAAAGTGTCATCAGGGAGTGTGGGAACCACGTCTTGGCCATCAGTAACAGAGCAGACCAGGCTGAGAAGGAGGAGCAGGTGCAGGAGCTGGTGCGGCTGATAGACAGCATGCTGCAGAAGAATGGAGGGGCTCACTTTTCTGATAACATCTACGCCGATGCGGAGGAGAGGCTGAAGAAGCAGGCAGAGATTTTAAAGAATAATTACGCTGATGAATTAAAGAAGGAGCTTCTAATACTGGAAGAGGAGTATGCTCAGATGTTCAGTGAACAGAAACAGCAAGAGGAGGAAACAGTGAAATCTATCACAGCGAAGTATGAGGACAAAATTCAACACGTCAGGGATCAGGCAGGCACAGAAATCCTGAGCCACATTGCTCAAAGACACAAGAACATCATTGCACACGTATTCAAGTAATTTGGGAAGCCATGGGTCTCATTGTGTTTTTCTTCATCTGTGGTGATTGTGAAGCATTTCTCCACAATCCCCCTCCCTTCCTCACCCTCCACGACTCTGACCCAGATTCTGGAATGACCAAATGGCTACCAATGAACAGGAATTTCCATGTATGTACCTGATGTCAAAATTCCCTGTCAGGCCTCTGTGACTGGCCAGGCTGCAGGCGGTGGGGACACTGTGTGTGAATTGTATGTCTGTGTGTCAGCAGCACCCTGTGGTTGTCAGGCTCTTACCGCCAGCTTCCCTGTGCTGAGCCCCAGAAAGTCTAACATCCCCCAAGCCTCATCCTTTCCATTTCGAGTTGTTTCTCTAGGTGCTGTCGCCCTAAGTCCCCTGGGAAACAATCACCCAAACTTCTGCTCTTCGGATCCAGGCTTCATCCTCCGCTCCCAGAAGCTCCCCCATGGTGCTTCCGTGGTCCTGTGAGTACACAGGAGCTCTGCCAGTGTGGAGGCAGGCGGGTGATGCACAGAAGAGAATACAAGAGCCTTCCAGTCCCGTGGATCCATCTCTATAGGACACACTTGGGTTGAGGCCCTCTTGAGCCATAGAAACTGGTGGCTCTCAACTCCACGGCACTGAAGTGGAATCCAAACACTTTTCCTGCCAGGCCTTTGCCTTGTCCACAGACAGAAGGACTGCGGCAGGGATCTGACAGAGATTTTTAATTTTTCTAAAATGCTCCAAGTAATGGTTGGTGTAGAAGACAAAGAAGCAGTGACCCTAAAATACAGGCTCCGATTTCTCTTAGGGCTACTAATTCCCAAAGCTATGCCGTGGGCATAGTTGTACCTGTTGTGTGAATAGAGTGAAAATGTCACAATGAGTGTCCCCATGAATGGGGACCATGAGTGACAGCAAAAACTTGACTAGCAGCTTGTTAAAATAAAGTAACTGTGTGTTAAATATGGATGCAGTCTCTGTTGTCGTGTGTGTGTGTGTGTGTGTGTGTTTGTGTGTGTGTGTGTGTGTGTGTGTGTGTGTGTGTGTGTGTGTGTGTGCGTGCTGGTCCTGGGGCTTGAACTCAGTGCCTGGGTGCTGGCCCTGAGCTGCTTCTGCTCAAGGCTAGTGCTCTACCGCTGGAGTCACAGCTCCAAGTCTGGTCTTTTGGTGGTTTATTGGTGCTGAGAGTCTCATGGACTTTCCTGCCTAGGCTGACATCAAACCATGATCCTCAGGTTTCAGCCTCCTGAATAGCGAGGAATACAGGTGTGAGCCACCAGCACCTGGCCTCTGTTGTCATTTTTAAGGCATTAGCTTTGTTTATGTTAGAACCATATTTATAGAAAGTTTCCAAGGCATTTTTTTTTGCCAGTCTTGAGTTTGAATTCAGCCTGAGCTTCTTTAGCTCAAGGCTAGCACTCTATCACCACTTGAGCCACAGTACCACTTCTGCCTTTTTCTGTTTATGTGATACTGAGGAATCGAACCCAGGGCATCATGAATGCTAGGCAAGTACTCTACCATAGGCCACTTTCCCAGCCCAAGAAAGGCATTTCTAGTAATAAGGGTAATAGTGCCATGGCTTTCTGTAATATCTACAGTTCTGTGATTTGATTCATTATGAGAATTATAAGCTTATTTGCATTGCTTTCAAATTAAACATAAATTTCTTCTACATGGCTGCAGATTTCAGTGAGGAGTCTATATAAATTAGAGGTTGTCATAAAAGTCATTTGTGGGAACAAGTATTGAGTAAGCACAGTGAGCTAGGTTATGGGACATGAGAAGCAAGAATGGGCATGGGCACTGGCTTTTTGACCAAGATCACTGACCTTTTGACCTACAGGGGTTTTCAGTCACATTGCTGCTAGGGTTTAACGGTCCTTTTCCTGCTATAACTTAGTGGTGTGAAGGCAGAGTCACTAATTGTAGCCCTTTTCAGAATCCTGACTGGAAGAAATGAAAACTACAAGAGCAGGGGGATGAGGAATCCTTCCATATCTTTCTATTCACACGAATCATTCCAGACATCCACGAATTGGAAATAATTGTGTAAATAAATTGCAGGTTTTCATTGCTTCAAAGTGGGAAGTAAGCCGTAAAACATAGTAGTGATAGCACTTTAGGATTTTAAAACCCAGTTGTGATGCTTGAAGTACAGGGGAAAGGCAGAAGGACACAATGCAACAATACGGTCCCCTTGCCTGCTCCTAAGGAAGTCAGAAATGCTGTTTGCTGCTGGCTTCTTAACACAGTCTCCTGAGGGTTTTCAGACACAGAGCAAAGTCTATTGCTCCACCAAGAGCCATCTCCAGTCTCTGAGGAGTGGTCTGCCAAAGACCCTGAGCCGGTTCTGGGCCTATCCCAATGACTCATCCCCATCAGCATCAAGTGTAAGGAGAGGGAATACTGCCCTGTTCTGTATGGTGACCACGAGCTTGTGTGAGGAGAAAGACCCAAGATGGAGGACAGCAGACAGGAAGTGGATGTGGATGTGGTAGAGACCCAAGATGGAGGACGGCAGACAGGAAGTGGCTGTGGTATAGATACAAGTTCTGTGTGTGTGTGTGTGTGTGTGTGTGTGTGTGTGTGTGTGTGTGTGTGTGTGTTCTGCATGAGGTAAGCTAACAACAAACGATCTTCTCATAATTTGAACTCATTTGGGAAATGGGGTAGCACTGCCAGTAGACCACACACACTGCTGAGACATGGTGAAGTGTACATGAACAAAACCCATGTAATATCGGATAAAGCAGAGCACACTTCTGTGATGATGGATGCCGTGTGCAAAGAAAAGATGTGAAGTTAGCAAAGAGAGGAAGGAAGGAGTGAGGAGAGTAGGAGGCCTCGCAGGGGTGCTTTGAGTAGCAACCTGACTGATGCTTTCCTGTCTCTCTTCCTCTCGGGGCACGCCAGGATAATGGATGCTTTCCTGTTTTTCTTCCTCTTCAGGCTTTCCTAGGAGGACTTGGAGCCCTCCAGGATATGGAGACGTAAGCAAGAAGCCAAGGGCCCTGAAAGGACCCTACAGAAGTGTGTTTTGTAGTAAAGCTGGCAAAGGATGTGGCATGAGAGTAGGAAAGGACTGAAGGCCTGTGTCTCAGGCAGCGTCTGCCTCCTTTGCTATTTTATACCCCAAATGTGGACATCACCAACTTAATAACTACCAGCGTCCCCAATGATCAAAACCCCAGCATTGAGAGCTGTTTCTAATAATACTCCCCTGACAGAGAACTAACTCTAGCCTTCCAGAATCTTCCTTGTCTTGACCTCGGACTTGTCTCCATCAGGACTGTTACTCCTCAGAAGCAGCCTGGTAGAGCTCCCTTTGTGTCCAGCCAGCTCTCTGGGAATTCATCGGTGTCATGGCTTGTTGCACGGCCTTGAGTAATCACAGGTGTGTCTTATCTAGGCTTCTAGCTGCTCTTTCCTCCTTAGCCCAACTCCCGTCAAGATCTTTACAAACCCAATTGTATTTCCTTTCGTGAACAATAATTTTTAGTGGTGACCCTAGGGTTGGCAATAGACATTTTGTAAACTAATTATAGGATACTGCTTCACGGGTGGTATAGATACATGAAAATACGGTATTGCTCATTCCTCTTCCTGGCCCTTTGTTATAGTTCTATCATTTATTTCACACATCGCCACACACTTACCATGCAATTCACTGATACTAGCATGACTTTGTACAAATTCTTATTAGGTAAAGTAGCACTAGAGAATAATTTGATTTTTATATCTTTCTATTCCAATATTTTTTTCTTTTTTAATGTAAATATGGCAGTCTTATCAGTTTTCTTTTCCTGCTGAACTTCTCTTAATATTTTTTACACAACCAAATTGTTGGAGACATGTTCCCCCTACTTTTGTTTGTTAGAGAGAACCTTTATTTCTCCTTTACTCTTTTTGTTTTGTTAGGACAAGTTAGCAAAATAAAATTATGGCTTGATTGACAACATTGTTTCACACAAATATCAAAGAGACCAAAAAAAGAATAACCAACAACTGCAATGACAATGGAATAAAAAATCATTTTTATCTTTGGTTTTTTTAACTATCTCCTACAAGTCAACTATATACTTTACACTACAGCTAAGTACATACACAAAAACATTACTGGAATAACGTTATTATTAATTAATTAATTAATTAATTTGCTGCCAATCCTGAGTCTGGAACTGAAGGCTTGAGTGCTGTCTCTGAACTTCTTTTTGTTCAAGGCTAGCTAGAAATCTACCACTTGAGCCATAGCTATATTTCTAGCTCTTTTGGTAGTTTATTGGAGTTAAGAATTTCATGGACTTTTCCTGCCCAGGCTGGCTTTGTACCCTAATCGTCAGATCTCAGTCTCCTGAGTAGCAAGGGTTACAGGTATCAGCCATTGGTATCCAGCATTTTTACTTGTATTTATTTCTTAAATAAGATTTGCTTTCTCCTTTGAGACGATAACAAACATGGTGATACCAGAAATAGTCAGAAGTAGGCAGAGTGCTCTGAAGACTGGTTTAGTCATCTGGGAGCATTAAAAATGTCTGACCTCTCACAATATAAAATGTAAATTAAAAAAATACAAATTTTCCTTTTTAAGGTACTTTTAAGAAAAACACCAGGGCCTTGGAAGTTTTGGTATTTTCCTCCCCTGTTGCAAATTCTGGTTGTGGTTTTGGTGGGGTGGTGGAGGGCTTGGAGGTGTCACCGTGGTGGGAGCAGGTAGGTCTCTCCACACCAAGGTGACCAGGTTTAGATTCTGAGAGAGGAAGTGGAGGGTGAAGAGGTCTCGCAGGAGGCCTTTTATTAGTTGGCTTTTCTTTTCTGCTGTCTAGTTATCCCACCTGTCTCCTGCTTCTTGAAATCAACATCTGCATCCTCAGCATCCTCATTTGCCTATTTGCCTGTAGCTGCCTCAGCCTCCTCGTCTTTATCTCCTCCTCCTCCTCCTCCACTTCTTCCTCCTCCTCCTCCTTCCTCTTTTCCTTCTCTTTTCCCTTCCTTATTATCAGTCTCCCCATTGTCCTCATCGGCATTCCCATCGGCACAGGCATCTTTTCCATTCTCTTCCTCCTCCACAGCTTCCCTTTTCTCCTTCAAATCCTTGGTGATGGACTCAAAGCTGGTGTTCACAGCTGGGTCTGACACAGTGGGCCACCCTGGTGATAGCAGAGTCCAGGACTGGGAAGAAAGCTGCCAGAGTCTGTGTTGGATGGCAAGGTGGCTGAGGCAAGCTAGACCGAAGGACAATGCAAAGATGGCTCTTCAGAGGAACTGGGAGGCTGTGGGGGGAGGTGGTTGCCTTTTACTTGTGACAGGTAACTTCAATGGAGGTAAAATTCAGTGCTGCAGTTTCCGTTCAGCAAAGTGCTATTTCAGTCCCTTGTCTTCTTACAGGTTTCGTTTCTGATGAGCAACCTGCTGTCATTTTCATCCTCATCCTCCATTGGGAAATACTTTCTCTTGCTTCTCTCAAGGTTTGCTCTGTGTCTGTGATTTGGCAGTTCGAATAGGAGATGGTTCTTGTAGATTTCCTGGAAATGATCCTGTCTGGTGTCCTCTGAGCAGTGACCTTTGGTGCCCATCACTAATTTTGGAGTTTTCTCTACCACGACCTCTGCAAATGCTGTTCTTGTGTTTGTTCTTCCTTGTATTCATTCCAATGATGAGTAAGCTTTGATTTGTTCAACCTGTGATTCAGTTCTTGGATATTCTCCAAGGAGGATTTTGTTTTTTAATCTTTGTACTTTGGTTTGAGAGGTTTCTGTTGATGTACCCCAAATTCTTTTTTTTTTTTTGCCAGTCCCGGAGCTTGAACTCAGGGCCTTGGCACTGTCCCTGAGCTTCTTTTGCTCAAGGCTAGCACTCTACAGCACTTGAGCCACAGCGCTACTTTTGGCTTGTTTTGTTTATGTGGTACTGTGGAATCGAACCAAGTGTTTCATGCATGCTAGGCAAGCACTCTACCACCATGCCACATCCCCAGCATCAATTCACTGACTCTTTCACTGATTCTACACCCTCACCCCATTTTTGGTTAGTGGTAGGGCTTGAACTCAGGGCCTGGGTGCTCCTGTGAGTGCTTTTGCTTGAGGCTAGCCCTCTATCACTTTGAACCAAACCACCATTTCCAGTTTTCGGGTGGTTCATTGGAAATAGAGTAGTCTCATGGCTTTTCCTGCCCAGGCTAGCTTTGAACCTGGATCCTACTCAGCCTCCTGAGTAGCTAGGATTAAAGGTGTGAACCACCAACCCTGACAAAGTATTCCATTTACTTTATTCACTGTTCCCATAGGATGGTATAAATCTTATTTTATTCCTAATTTCCTGAATCCAGTCCCTGGAAACAATCTTGAGTTCAAATTCAAATCTTAGGAAACAATGTAGCTGGATACAACCAAGGATAAGAAGGTCACTCATGATTTATTATCAAGAAACACAACAGGAAAATTGGAGCCCTCTGGAGACCAGAGTTATCCCATTCAGGGGTCAAGAAAGATAGAGACTAACATGCTAACTTCCATAATCTGACTGTTCCAAATTAAATTACTGATAAATCCATTGAAAACCTATTGCTGTTACAGTGCTCTCAGTCCCTAACATTTCCTTTGGTTCTTTCCCAGGGTTTCCGTCTCTTTCCTGACACTGCCTACCTTTTCTTGGGTATTGTGTGCTTTTTCCACACAGAGCTTAACATATTGAAGAAGGTATAAATACATGCTGCATTTCACAATTCTACAAGCCATGTCACTCTGGGCCAGGTTCTCATGGTTGCTTTGTCTCTTCACAGTCTGCTTGCCTTCAATCAAGTCCTTCAATATTACACTGACTCACACACACACACACACACACACACACACACACACAATGCAATAGGAAAGGAAACAAGTGGTATTGCTAGAAGATTTTATATTAATCTGACCCCAACTTGCACTGTGTTAAAGCCTTCTGTCAGAGCACTTGACGGAGATTTTAGTCACCCCGCTGCTGACTTTGGGCTCCTCGAAGCATTCCCTCTTAAATAGAGTATATGCCTTCTAGTCCCTTCAACTGCAACCTACCATTTGATGTTGTGGTGGAAACGGGTAAGGGAGGGGTAGCATTGTATGACTGTTAAAATTAAATCAATCTGCCTCTACCAATGGGTCTGCGGCCCTGAACTGTGAATTTCTGTTTTGTTTTCTATTTTTCTCTTTCTTTTTCTTTCTTTCTCTCTTTCTTTTTTCCTTCTTTCTCTCTTTCTTTCTTCCTTCCTTCCTTCCGTCTTCATTCTCTCTTCTTTCATTTTCTTTTCTTTTTTATTCCTTCCTTCCCTCCTTTCTTCCTTTCTCTCTCTCTTTCTTTCTTTTTTCTTTCTTTCTTCTTTCATTCTTTCTTTCTTTCTCTTTCTTTCTTTCTTTCTCCTTTCTTTCTTTCCTTCATTCTTTGGGGTTTTTTGTTTGTTTCTCTTTCTTTTCCTTCCTTCCTTCTTTCCCCTTCTCTTCTTTCTTTCATACCTCCTCACCTTTGAGGTGATCCAGACCAAGTCAGTCTGTGTCCGCATTTTTCACCTCATTTTTCTGGCAATGACTTATTCTCCAGAATGCCCTGGTGTACTTAAATATTATACTTTACCTCTTTTCTCAAGTAACTGTGCCATGAATAGAAAAACAAAGCTTTTGCTGGGAACATGTCTATTATAGAAAGATCGTGATGAACACTTCCTGTGAAGTGAGGCTCTGAGAACCCCACCCATCATGGGCTAGAGTAGCCAAGTACTGTGAACACATGGATTCGTCCTGAGCAGAGACTCACTTGTGAGTATTTATAACAGCAGTAAGCAAATATCCACAGCAGTTCCTTCAAAGAACAACTCTCTATTACTAGGTAAAAATGCAAGAGGAGTTGAACATTAGAACATTTATGAATAAAATTCATTCTTCACACTAATTCAGTGAAGACAGCAGGGCAGGATGTGGGAGTCTCGGGCTGAACACACAGGCAGAAGATCGACACTGGGGTTTGCAGGCAGGAAATCCATTCAAGAACACTACTGCAGGCCAGTGAGTGAGGCCAGAGATGCCGGACAAGGCCTAGGGGGTCAGCCTGGTGGAGCTCAGGAGAGAAAGGGAACGTGAGGCTCTGGAGAGATCCCAACAGGGAAGGCCTTCCGACCGCTGAGCTGAGCAGCCATAGGAGTGAGCGGCCTTGGGCATCGGCCCTGGCCTTGAAAGGAGACTCTAGGCACCTTATGTAGGCATCTGAGGAAACCCCAGGACTGGTTCAAAGTGAGAGGAGACTCTGCTGGGATCAGTGCCCTCAGCTGGGAGGTGGAGGGGCATCTCACAGGCCATTCATTGGGACAAGTCCCAGGGTCTTCAGAGCCACCAGAAGCAAACACAGCAGTGGCCATGCCATTGGCAAAGAGGAACAGATCTGCCTCAGGCAATACTGCAGGCCAGCTGCTCTCCAGGAAGCTCCTGGAGACCTCTTGCCGGCTGGCCCCTCCCCCGGGGCTTGGCTTCTGGGCTGAGAGCTGGGCAGCCCGGCCATGTCAGAACAAGCTTCCCTTCAGACTGGAGCAGGGGCAGCTGACCACCAGCTTCACGGGGGAGCGGGGAGCGCCAGGCAGTCCTGCGGGAGAAGGTGAGGCTGGGAGAGGACAACAGAGCAAGTGGGATGAGGGAGAGGGGGCAGTAGAGAGGGTGCAGCCCTCCATGGTCTGGAGAGGCTTAGAAACTCCGCCTGTTCATCGCTAACCGGACAGACTGTTGCTTCATAGGCAACTGCAGATCGCTGGTCTTTAATGTGAACAGCAGAAAGATGGTCACTGTCCTTTAAAAGCACACCAGTGTCTCCAAAGTAAACCTGGAGAACTGGGAGAAGGTTATGGAGTAAAGTCAAGATGTACCCTAAGTCTCTCAATTTCCTACAAAGAACCAAACCCCAGTGATGACTATGAGTCATGCACCATTACAAATAAGAACACAGTCCTGTGCCTGACTCCACGTCGAGATCCACCCAACACCACCGCTCCGGGAGGAGGCTGGGACCCTCCTGGGAGAGACACAGAGGGAGGGGGACTCAGGGGCAGGACTGACTTCTGAAGGCACAGTGGGAGCCGTTATTCCAGCTCAGTCTGAGCGGTTATGTGGCTCTTTGTGCCTCCATTGCTTTCAGTTCATATTTTCCTTGGTATCAGTGGTTGGGGATAAAAAACATTTTGATCCTGAGTAGCAACCACATTGTGGTTTCTGTGAGAGATCTTCATAGAAGTTTCTCCAGGGAGATTCAGGGCAGATCTGCAGGTTTCTGTGTCCCGGCTCACAGCAGAGGGGACAGAATCTCACAGGGCACCAGGGATTCTCAGAGTGGCCATCTGTGCGCGGGCTATCTCTGCCTTCTTGCTAGAGCAATTCCCCGTGCAATTGCTTCTCAGCCGTGCTCTTTGCTGAGGCCCTCTGGGTCTCCCAAGAGGCGCTCGGGAAAGCTTGGGAGTGACTGCTTCTGTTGGTCTGTCTTGACTTGGCTTGTTGGGATGGAGGAGGGAGAAAGGCCAGGGAGACAGAGGCAGCCATGCCCTGGCCTCCCTGCTGCAGGCGTGTGCCCAGCGCTCTGCCTGGAGGAAGGAGGCTCCTCCCCTGCCGCCCCTGCTCTGCTTCTGATTTTACAATCACAGCTGAGAAGCTGCTTGGCTGGGGTCACCTTGTGCTGGTTGACAGGGAATGTGATGGAGTCTGATGGTCTGAGTCCCTGCTCTGCCCAACACAGAGGAAGCAGGGGTGGTGGGCAGCTGTTTTGGCTTTTTTCAGTCATCCTGTCCTTGCCTATAAAATTAGAGTAAGAATTGTTCCTCCTACTCTTAGAGGAAGAACACAAAGGCATAATGCCGCTGTGCATTGTGTGTTGTCATATAATATCTATTGAAATGAACTCCTCTTGGAAACAAGAGGTTTTAATTTCTCTGTTCTTTTTATCTTGTTTGTTATTCTGTCTTTGGGAGGGTAAGGGAGACACTGAAATGGAGGGACAAATTGTGAACAAATGCAGCAGTGGTACTCAGTAGATACTGTGTTGAAAATAAACTATACAGCTTGTGGGCAGGGTGCGAGGGAAAATCTGGGAGAGAGCAAGGGAAGGGGTAACGTTGTCCAAAAAGAAATGTACTCATTTTGTGACTTATAAAACACTAATCCTTCTGTGCATCACCTTTATAATAATAATAGAATGTAGTTATACCTCCAATGACCCTTTTTCTGATGACATAGTGACATTCATTCGATTCAAATCTTTACCCCTGTGTAACTACTTTGCTAGAATTTATAAGCAGGAAAATTGGCACAGTAAAGTTGTAGCAAACTAAAAGAAAAAAACCAAAACACAATTCTTCCATCCTGGAGTGTTTCTGAGATTAACTATTCCTGTGAAACCTTCACAGCCGGGTCCTCAATATAGTCATCTAATCAGTCATGGTTACAAATGCATATGCTCACCTCAAACCATTAATAAAAACGTCACATGTTCACAAAACATGAGTACAATGAGCTCAGTTCCATCACCAAGCTTTGAGAATATTGCCAGGTTTCATGTTTGACAATTCAGGATTCTTGTTTCTGACAACCCAGTTCTCCTGGATTCTTTCGAAGTCAATAACAGGTTTCATATCATTTTATCTGAAAATATTTAAAAATGTATATTAAAACTAAGACTTTTATTCACCGTTGTCATCGCACCAAAAATGTCTGTCTTGTTACCAAATGTCCTTCAATCTGTGTTCACAAGGCATTTACAATTTTTATTATTCATTTGTAATGAAGTCCAGTAAGGCAATCCCACATTATTCTATGCATTTTCTGCCCCAAATGTCAAGTTAGGCATTTCCCTAGAAATCCTTGAGGGTTTTCCTTTCAGAGGGAGATGGTAGGGAAGTCTAGGACTGCTGCTTTTGTGGCTCTGTTTCTTATCTTCTTATTATGTGTGTGTGAGTGTGTGTGTGTGTGTGTGTGTGTGTGTGTGTGTGTGTGTGTGTGTGCGCACATGCATGCATGCCTGCATGTGTTGTATACAAAGTTTATGCCTGTATTCCCAGTACATAGCACATATGTTATAATTCAATGATAGGGATATTATCAGTTTTGTGACTATGAATAGTGTTAGGGCATTTCTTTTTTCTTTTGGATTTTTGGGCTCTATTCTTCTGGGGGTTGTCAATGAACTTAATATATTGAAGAACATGATCAGGTTTATTTGTTTCACAGAATCTTTGATTTTTAGGAATTAATTTTCAACATAGATTCCGTCTACCTAAATAGTTCAAAGATGTCCACCTTCTTTCTTTGCCACGCTACTTCTTCCCTCTCGACCAGCACTCATTTCTTTCTTTACTTTCTCCCTCCCCCCTTATCTTTCTCCTTGCATATATCTGTAATATATTTATATATAGTATATAAATATAATGAGGATGTGGACACATGTGTGCTTGCACTCCTTTGGGTGAGGGGTCTCCCACTCTATGTTCTTTTATTAACCTCCTAGGTTTTTGAAATTTTTAATTTTATTTTAAAGATGTTGTACAGAGGGGTTTCAGTTACATGAGTAAGGTGATGAGTTCATTTCTTGTCAAAGATTGTTACACCCTCCTTTGTTTTTCTCTTATTATCCTTTTTTTTTTTTTTTTTTGTCGGTCGTGGGGCTTGAACTCTGGGCCTGGGCGCTGTCCCTCAGCTCTTCAGCTCAAGGCGAGCGCTCTACCACTTGAGCTACAGCGCCACTTCTGGTTTTCTGGTGGTTTATTGGAGATAAGAGTCTCACGGTCTCTCCTGCCCGGGCTGGCTTTGAACCGTGATCCTCACTCAGATCTCAGCCTCCTGAGTAGCTAAGATTACAGGCATGAGCCACCGGCGCCCGGCTTCTCTTATTTTCCTTTACCTCCCCCTTAACCTCGTTGGTTTTGATGCTTGTTGGAACCTGAGTAGTGACACATCTCCATGCATTTCACAGCTGCAGGATATATTAACTCATATTTTCTGAAATAGTCTCTCTGTACGTGGTGGCTAGGATTATATTGTAATTTTCTTTGAGCCTCTCCTTCAGTCCAGTTTTCTAAAAGAAATCCTACTTTGTCACATCCAGTCCTGTTTTCCTAACATTTCTTTAGGATTTGGTGTTGAACTCAACTCTAATTTCCTGTCTGATGCAGGCGCTGTGAATGCTGGGTTTCAGAGTTACCTCTGCCTCATAGAAAGAGCTTGGATGTTTTCCTCTTTTTCCTGTGCTCTGGGATGTAGAGCATGACAGAATTCTCTGATCGCTAAAGCTCGATAGAATTTTGCTGAAGAATGGTGAGAAACCACGAGAGCTCGCCGTCCACTCTGTGGTCTTGCTTGTCCTCAGTCTGTCATTCCCAGGTCTGCAGGGGTCGGCACTGAAATGTGCATTCATGCATGCCACATATACCTGATAGTAGAGAGTTTACAATACCAACGCCTGTTGACTTTTAGCCTCTCCAGTGCAAGGTTATCTGCTCGAGTTTTGAGATGAGTGACCACCAAACCACTTTGAACCCATTACCAAAGACCATCACCCCTCTTCTATAGTTACTGAATGGTAGAGCATTTCCACAACGAGGACAGCCATTTTGTATTCCCTTTCTGTATATAGCTTGTGAAAACAAAGCTCCTGTGTACATCACACATTTAATTTAAAGAGTTTTCTTCTCCCTGTAAGTGATGTCTTCTGTCCATGTTGAGCATTCCTGTAGTGGGCTGGCTGTGTACATTCACCTCGGATACACTCCTGCAATGAATGGTGTCAGCCTTCTACACAGATCCAGACTCTCAGGGCATTCTGATGAAGATGCTCTCGTGGGATAGGAAGCTCATTGCTTAGGTCAGAATACGTCAGATATGATATCTGAAAAACAAAGTAGAATCTGTTCTGGAAAATAGGTCTCACACAAAAGGAAAGGATAGGAAATACCAGATTTTAAATGGTAATTGGTACTTTTGTCATAGAAAATTAAGCAAGAATGCGGTAGAAAGCAGAAAAGTTGATGGAGATACAGGGCAGGGGCATGGAAGTGAGAAAACTTCACTGGCTTGGATGATTTGGTTGATTCCGAAGGGAAGGAACAAAGGACAGAAGGGCCAGCAGGGCTGGTTTCTGGTGATCTCTAAGCCACGTTCTTTCTACCTTTAAAGTACAGTCCAAGTGCCCGGGCTCCTGAGGCTGAATTCCGGTGGCAAGCATGGCCAAGTCTGAGGATCACTCTTGGCGGATCGTTCTGGTCGGGAAAACTGGAAGTGGGAAAAGTGCCACAGCCAACACCATTCTTGGGGAAGAAATCTTTCATTCTAGAATAGCTGCCCATGCCGTCACTGAGACCTGCCAGCGGGCATCCAGAACGTGGAAGGAGAGGGACCTTGTGGTGGTGGACACCCCGGGGCTCTTTGACAGCAAGGAGAATCTGCAGACCAACATCGTGGAATTGAGCCGGTGTGTCCTCTATTCCTGCCCAGGGCCTCACGCCATCATCCTGGTTCTGAGGCTGGGCCGCTACACAGAGGAAGAGCAGGAAACTGTTGCTTTGATCAAGGCTGTCTTTGGGGAGGCCGTCATGAAGCATGTGATTGTTTTGTTCACGTGCAAAGACTATCTTGAGGGCTGCAGCCTCGATGACTTCCTAAAAAGATCGGATGCAAACTTACAAGGCATCATTCAGGAGTGTGGGGGCCGCTATTGTGCCTTCAGCAACAGAGCAGACGAGGCTGAGAAGGAGGAGCAGGTGCAGGAGCTGGTGCGGATGATAGGGAGCATGCTGCAGAGCAGGGGAGGGGCTCACTTTTCTGATGACATCTACATGGATGCAGAGCAAAGCCTGCAAGAAAAGGCAGAGCTCTTGAGGAAGCATTACACAGAGGAGTTAGAAAAGGAACTCGGAGCAGTGAGGGAGACATATACTCAGATGTGCAAGCAGAGTATGCAGAACAAGGAGGCCAAAATACAATCAATTAAGGAGAAGTATGAGGCAAAAATAAGAAACATCAGGGCAGAGGCAGAGACAAATATACTTATTCAGATTTTTGAGAGAATTAAGAGAATGCTTCTCAAAATACGCCATTTTTTCAGGAGATAATGTGTATATCAGCTTTATTCTGTCTGCACTTACCACGAGCCTTCTTTCACATCACCCCCTCTCTTCCCCGTGGCAGCCCTTCTGCAAGCAATGTGAGCAGGAACAGAATTAAGAAATCGCCAGATTGTTCTGTGCTGGCCTCAGAGCCCATGGTGAGCTCTCCCAGTCTGACTTGTGTACACTGCACTCAGCACCTAGAGAAGACAGCAGAGGCAACACCCTGCCTTTTTGAACCAAGTGCCTACCCCAGCTGTCCTGTTCTGAATTCCGAATTTCCAAGAATCCCAACAGGGACCTGGTAGGGATGTATTTTTCTAAAATGCCCTGATCTATGATTAGGCGGATATGGTGGACACATAAAGAAGTAGTAATCCTAAGACATACATGCTGATTTCTGAGAGCCATGAACTCGCAAAGCAATGCCTGGGGTTTAGTTGGGCTTTTATAGTGAGTGAGCCAGAATGTCACAATGAGTGTCTCCACCAGTGGGGACTGTGAGTGACAGCAATAACTTGACCAGAAGCTTGTTAAAATAAAGTAATCGTGTGCTGAGTATGGATGCAGAGTCTCTGTTATTGTTTTATAAAACATGGTTTGGACGGGACCACATTTGTGGAAATATTCCAAGAATGATTATATGGGGTGTATGTATCTATATCGATATCGATATCAATATGGATTTAATTTTAGACATATGAAAAAGCTCTTGGTACCAATGGAGATAATAATGCCACGACATTCTGTGATGCCTATAATAATTGTATTCATGATGAGAATGAAAATGATCTCTTCTCAAATGAAATCTAGATTTCCCCTAACTAGCTGTAAATTTCAGTGAGCAGTTGGTCTAAGTTAGAGGTTACAATAAAGGTCATTTGTGGGAATAAGTATCAAAGAGAACAAGGAGCGCTGTCTGCAACCCAATAAGATAAGAACTTGTTAGAAAACTTAGGATCCATCCAAACTTACTGACAGAAACACTGGGATAGAGTTCAGCAACCCGTTTCTTTTTCTTTTCTTTTTTGCTGTTGTTGATTGGTTGCTATTAAGAAACCCTCCTGTGAGTCTGATGGATATGCCACCTTGAAAACAACTGGCTAAGGCACTGTCCATTGGTCTTTCCCCTGTGATTGAGCTGATGGACATGAAGATCTGAAGAGGGCTAGAAAAATCACACTTCAAATTTCACAAGTTTCACGTAGAAGCAGTCACTGTAACACTCTCTCTTAAGACAGACTTTACAAAAACAAAAGATGAAATGAAGAAGGGCTTTGGACAACCAGGAAACAGCCTGTGTGAGTTTTCATTGCTGTGCAACTACTGGAGATAATCAACTTACACGGAGGAAAGGTTTATTTTGGTTCCCTGCTTGAGAGGCCTTGCTCTCGGATGGCCTGACTCTGGCTTTGGGCCCGTGGCAGGCAGCGCAGTACATCATGATGGAAACATGTGTGAGGGAGGTCTGGTGAGCTCATGGTGGCCAGGAAGCAAAGAGGAAAATAGGAAGAGGCAAGAGTTTTAGCATCCCCGTCAGAGCATGCCCCCAGTAACCTAACTTCCTTCCACCAGCCCCCATATTCTAAAGGTTCTACCAATTCCCAGTAATGTCACCGAAATGAACCAAGCCATCTGCACATAGAGTTTTGGGAAACACTTACCCAAATGTCCCAGGTAGGAAGCAAAGAGCTTGAAAGTTGAGTTCCATCAGAAATAAACCTTCCCCTTTGAATTCCTTTTTCATGGAGACTGCGTTGAATCTGCAAATTGCTTTGGGTACTGTGGACATTTTAACAATACTAATTCTGCCAATCCACGAACATGGGAGGTCTTTCTTGCATGTATGTGTGTGTATACAACTTTTTTTCAGTGTTGTGTAATGTTCATTATAAAGATCTTTCACTTTCTTAAATTTATTCCTAGCTGTGTTCTGTAGCTCTGGGGGATGGACTTGCTTTCGTTTTAATGGATGGTATCCAAACCCTGGATCTTGACTAGATGATTCAGCCAAGCCCAAGATCTGTAGTGTTATGATTGCAGATTACATTTCTTTTATAAGATGCTGGCTATCCAAAATAAATGGGCTTTAGATCACTCTAGAGCAGCTTATAGCAGGCACCCAGCATTTCAATACTTGCCTCTCTAGCTTGTTTTCTCTCTGCCTGAGCACTATTCTGGCAGGAACCATTTACCCATGAAAGTCTTGACACCCAAAGACTAGTGGGTAGCTAGTTCATGCCTTACCAGAGAGGAAGCTTAGCAGCTGGAGATCACACAGACAAGATGGTTCTCACTCACCTCTGAGGACAGCGCTTGTTCCTGCAGCAGTCTGAGTTTGAGGTTTTGATCCACACATTGAACTAGGCAGTTATTTTTCACACTTCATAAAAAACATGCCCAAAGCAACTTCCTCTCAAGACACAGTTCAACTCAAGAAGCATAAAAAGCAAAAATGAAAAAGGTCTTCAAGTTCACAGTGTGATGGAGAGGAAATAAATGGGGGTTGCTGATAAGGCCTTAGCAGAGGAAGCAGAAAATGGAGAAAGCCCAGAGCCTCACCTACGAGCTCCCACCCACGGTTCTTCTCCAGCTCATGTTGACTACAAGTGCTTGTTTGCAACCACTAAAAGAATAGGAGGGGACTTGTATGGGGCTGTAATTAAAACAAACAAAACAGAAGGGCTGGGAAGGTGGCTCATTGGTAGAGTGCTTGCCTTGCATGCATGAGGCCCTGGGTTCGATTCCTCAGCACCACATAAGCAAAAAGAAAAAAAGCTGGAAGTGGCGCTGTGGCTCAAGTGGTAGAGTGCTAGCCATGAGCTGAAGAGCTGAGGGACAGCGCCCAGGCCAAGAGTTCAGGCTCCACGACCGGACCCAAAAAAAGAAAAAACAATTCTTATACGTTTGTGTTAGTCCTAAGGCTTGAACTTAGGGCCTGAACACTGTCCCTGGACTTTTTTTTTTTTTTTTGCTCTAGGCTACCTAGCACTCTACCACTTGAGCCATAGTTCTGCTTCCAGCTTTTTGGTAGTTAATTGGAAATAAGAATCTCAAGACTTTCTTGCCTGGGCTGGCTTTAAACCACAATCTTCAGATCTCAACTTCCTTGGTAGCTAAGATTATAGGCATGAACCACCCAGCTTGTCACTTGCCCTAGAATCTACAGTATTTCCATCCTGTAAATACTTCTAATACCTTTCTGTAACTTCAACTGGCCCTTGAATTTCAGCTCAATTTTATTTCTTCTAAGAAGTCTTTCAGGATACTGCCTACCATCCCGCCATTTTTAGCAGATCCCTCATACACTGCCAGAACAGATGACATCCTCCTTAATTACACTCAGCCTGCTAAAGGCTTTTCAGTGTCATGCTTGCTGGAGAAAGGAGATGTGTTCCCTGAGTGACTAATACAACTACATTCAGAGTTACGCAGGAGTCTGACTCAAAGTTTTAAGACAAATGAGAAATGCAAAGTAGAGGTAAGGGTGCCAAGGTTTTCTTCTGCTTTCGGTTAACATGTGAGCCAAAATGAGGAGTCAGTGCTTTTTAGCAAAAGCAATTTCTAAGTACCTGTTATGTGATGAGACTTTACTTCTGGATTTTTCTGACCAACTGAACCTAGAAATGACTACATGAATGTCCAAGCATGAGTTAGCTGTTGAGAGTAGTTACCATTTTCTTTCTTTTAAGTCCAGAGACTCTCTGGGCCTATTTTACAGGGATGAAAACTAGCTGAAGATCAGTAGTAACCCATTCTAGAAATAAAGTCAGCCTCTGGGGCCTGCAGAGCTCTTCCTCTTCCTCTGAGTATGGCCAGATATGTGATATCAGGGACCCAGATTGAGATACACTCAGCATCCCATGGAGTCCCGGCAGGAGGCTGGTTTTGGTGGTGATACACTGCAAGTCCACAGTGCTTCTGTCTCTTTAAATTGTTAGTGTCCAACCCTCCCTGAGCTTCCTGAGCTCTGAGTTCTGAGCAACTCAGTGACTTCCTCTGCGCTGGAAGGGAAATTTTTTGAACTCACAAGCAAAGGGAAAGCGGAAAGTCAGGGCTTCCCAGAGCCGCTTCAGAGCCTGTCACCAGGAAAGGTGAGCCTGAGCCTTCGAGGAGGGAGGAGGTGGGTCGTGAGGGCCCAAATGGTCCCTAGAGAGTGCTTACTCCTTGTATCCTGTGTATTTTGCGAAGTCCCAGGCTGGCCATCCCAAGGACCCAGAGCAGCCCCGGTCATGCGGCCAGGTGTGTGAGGCAATGGAATGCGGCCAGGTGTGTGAGGCCCGGGTCATGTGGCCAGGTCTGTGAGGCCCCAGTCATGGGGCCAGGTGTGTGAGGCCCAGGTCATGTGGCCAGGTCTGTGAGGCCCCAGTCATGGGGCCAGGTGTGTGAGGTCCCGGTCATGCGGCCAGGTGTGTGAAGCCGTTCTGAGCGTCAAAGCCAGCAAGTGCCGAGGAAGTTTCAGGAGGCTTTTCCTGAGCACACTCATTCTGGCTAGGGAATAAAACCTGTATCGCCCCACACTTTCTTATACCAGGAGATAAAGTGTGTGCTAGATCTACTTCCAGGGCAAAATGCAGATGGAAAGAAATCAATCATTCCTCAAGTCACATATTGAGCAAAACATTTTTTCAAAAACATTCTGTACTCCCAGAAGAAACTTGATATATGACAAAGGTTGTCATATATAATGTATTATCTATAGCGTATATAAATTATATACAAATATAGAATATATTAGATCCAGTTACATGTGTAAATATATGATATATTTCCTGATAAGTCTTATCCACTCTTAAACTCAAGAAGACCCCTAGAGACATCCGAGCATTGTAACTCACTTTTCAACCTCTTTAAGTATCTGTCCCCTAATTCCTGCTTCTCCTGATGCAGCTTCAGGAGTACCATGGAGAAACACAGCTGATTTCTAAACTCAAATTGTGTTCTGACTGCACCAGAAACACCCCAATCGCTGACTCAGAGTCTCTGAGGATGGTGCCCAAGTATGAATTCTGAAAGAACCCCACATAATTCTGAAAAACAGCTAGGTGTGGGAGTAAAAGAACTACATGAACTTTTGAGTTCTTTCAAAGTATGAAGAGTATAGAGTTCTACATGCTTTATTTTCCCAGAGAATTAAGAGCCACTTGTCACCCCAGATCTCAGCAGGAACTTATTTCTATGTTAAAAATATTCAAAATGATTTTAACTCCCATTCCACAGTCTGGAAAATTGTGCTGGACTCTCAGAGAGTTCTATGAATTCCTTACAGAGCACACCAGCAGTTTCATATTCAAAGCAAGACTTTGAGATTCAGCTAACTCTTGTTACTAGCTCTAAATCTCACATCTGTCGCTTCATATCTGTGTTGTGCTAGTCAGGGGAGTCTGTGGCTTTTAGACACAAAGTAGTTAATAACACAAAGCTGTAGGGTTGAACTTCACTGAAGACAAGGACTACAGAAAGAAACATATTTGGGTTGAGGCAAACTCGTTTTCAAAGACTCCTAGCCAAGGACAGGCCATTCATTCCACTTCCTCTGTGCTTTCTTCTGTGTGGTGCTCACAGGAGACGTATAACCTAGAAGAACCAGCACAGAAGACATAAACAGACACTCTGAAATGATGGGGAAGTGTAGACGAAGAACTCAGGTAGAAATAGGGTGAAGATAAATAGTAACAGATAGGAAAGCACAGCGGAGGTTGGCAGAGCTCTGGTTTTGCTGGCTCAGAGGGGAGTAGCTGGAAGGAAAGCAACATGAGGGAAGACGGGTCATTTGTGAATGAACGAATCACGTTTGGAACTCTTTCAGGGAAACATGGGAGGCCGGAAGATGGCAAGAGACGAGGAGAACCCCTATGGTAAGAGCCGTGATTACAGCAGCATCATTGTCCCCTCTGACTGAATTGGGGTAAGGCAGGGGCAAGGGGACTAGAGGCATGGCTCAGTTGGTAGAGCTCTGGCCAATGAGTGAAAGCATCAGGTAATGAGTTCAAGTCCCGGTCCTGGACCAAACAAAGAATAAAAGGAAAGAATGGGGTGGGAGCTGAGTATCAGGAACACACACTTATAATCCTAGCTGCTCAGGATGCTGAGATCTGAGAAGATCAATTCAGAGCCTGCCCAGGGTAGACAAATCCAATTAACCAGCAAAAACTGAAGACATAGGTCAAGTGGTAGAGCACCAGCTATGATCCAAAAAGCTGAGCTAGACTGGCCCTGAGTTCAAGCTCCAGTTCCAACATGGAGAGAGAAAGAAAGAAAGGGGGCGGGGGGTTGGTTTAAAACAGGAAGTAAGTATCTAATGTCCCCTTTGTTCTGAACACTCAAAGACTCCAGTTCCCAAGGGAAAGGTGGCTGCGACTGACATCCTGTGACCTTTGCCCTCCCAGGGTCAGAAGGTGACGTCCAGCAGTTCCCGCAGGAGTCCCAGCTGCGGCTCATCCTGGTTGGGAGATCGGGGACAGGGAAGAGTGCCACGGGCAACAGCATCCTGGGCCAGCAGCGCTTCGTCTCGAGGCTGGCAGCCACGTCCGTGACCAGCACCTGCGTGGCCGGCAGCAGGCAGTGGGCTGGGTGGCACGTGGATGTCATCGACACCCCGGACATCTTCAGCACCCAAGTGCCCAGGACGGACCCCCGGTGTCTCGAGCGAGGTCGCTGCTACCTGCTGTCCTCCCCTGGCCCGCATGCCCTGCTGCTGGTCACCCAGCTGGGTCGCTACACCAGGCAGGACCAGGAGGCGCTGGGCAAGGTGAAGGAGCTGTTCGGGGAGGGCGTGGTGGCCAGGATTGTGGTGGTCTTCACCAGGAAGGAGGACCTGGCCGGCGGCTCCCTGCACGAGTACGTGCGCCTTACCGACAACCTGGCCCTGAGGAAGCTGGTGGACGAGTGCGGGGGCCGCGTGTGCGCCCTGGACAACCGGGCCACCGGCCGCGAGCGGGAGGCCCAGGTGCAGGAGCTGCTGGGCCTGGTCACCGGCCTGGTGAAGAAGCTCGGGGGCACGCACTACACCAACCGGGTGTACGACGTGGCGCAGTCACTGCGCACCACCAACCCCGAGCAGCGGCTCCAGAGGGTGGCCGAGGCCGTAGCTGCCCGTGTGCAGAAGTCCCCGGGGTCTTGGCTGCTGGCAGGGCTGTGGCAGTGGCAGAAGTCACACAGGACCCTCTGGAGACGGGGCATGGCTGTCCTGCTGGGTATCTTTCTGGTCTATGTGCTGTTTGGCAAGCGCCAGCCGGAGACCGTTGGTGACCTGAAGGACGGATGGCCTGCACCTTAAAAAAATGGCTACAACCAGGGCTGGGAAGGTGGCTCAGTGGTAGAGTGCTGGCCTTGCATGTATGAGGCCCCGGGTTCGATTCCTCAGCACCACATAAGCAGAAAAAGCCAGAAGTGGTGCTGTGGCTAGCCTTGAGCTGAAGAGCTGAGGGACAGCACCCCCCAAAGTTCAACCCCCACAACTGACCAAAAAAAAAAGGTTACAACTTGGCCAAGAAAGCATGAAGTGCCTAGGGCTGAACGGGAAATGTGAGCTTCATCCCAAGGAAATCTCATTCTTTCATAATCAGTCTTAGTGTGATGGGCACTTGGACACTGTGTCGACCTTGCCAAGGTCTGTAAGTGTTTACTTGTAAGGGTCCGAATATCAACTTTTAATTCTATGCGTTCAGTGTTTCTGAATTAATTTGTCTAACTTAAAGCTTCTGTGATTCATTGTGATGGTCTTGGCATATCTTGCCTCTTTGGACAAACAGTAAAATGACTGGCAGCTTGGAGAAGAGATGAATGCCTGGTCCGGGGAAGAATTCTTATTCTGAATACGCCTCTCTTTCTTTACTCTGAGGCTCCTGAATTTTCCAGTTGGAGTGTTTGCCCCTTTGCTACTCCTGCAGTCCTAGACCTTCAGCATTAATGAAAGATGCTGGTGTTCTACATGCTAACTATTGCTTCTAATACATCTGTTTATTTACTAGTAGGATGAGTTACTACCAAGTAGATAAATGTAACTACATTAAAAAGAAACTTTGCAGTTTCTGATAGGTATTCTTGTTCTTGTCTTTCCAAAATAAAGTAAAATGTAAAAAAAATAATAAATGATGTCTGATTGTGGTTATTTGGATTTTCATGCAGCGTGTGTGTGTGTGTGTGTGTGTGTGTGTGTGTGTGTGTGTGTGTGTGTGTGTGCAGAAAGGTTCCCATAGTTAAGGCAGGATAGCTTCAAACTCACTAGCTAAGTCAGACTAGCCTCAAGCCTGCAATCTTTCTACCTCCAACTTTGGAGTCCCAGGATCATAAGCATATGCCACCATGTCCAAACATATGCTGCATTTTTGCATGCACACTTCCACATGTATTGTGCATACCAAGCTTTTCTCTCAGAGGGGAGAAGAGGAGCAGGTGTGTAGACTGAGAGCCATGGGCATCTAGGCTGAGGTTGGTGTTCTGTGGCATGGGTTTGCATAAGCTCCTTGAATGTTTTCAAAGGCTCCTGAATACCATATCGTTAGAAAATGGGGATGCTGCCTAGCTGTGCGCACCAAACACTGGCATCTCCTTATTTCTGCTTCTGAGTGGAACAGGACTGGCCATCGTTGACTCAACCAAGCTCTTGTTAGCAGGGACAGATATGGAAACAAGCCCGAGTCAGGGGACAGAGGAGGAAAGGAGTCTGCAAGTCTTCTCAGGCCCACATCAGGAAGGAGGTGTCTATATGTGAATGCTGCCAGTGGCACGGCTAGCCAAGATGTCAGGAGGGTCAGAGTAGACCGAGGCCTTGCGACAGGCTGTCCCGATCCGTGGTGTTCATCACAGCAAAGTACGCTCTGTAAAGCATGGCTGGAGGAAAACTCATTCTCAATTCAAGCGTTTAGCTTTTTCAAGAGTATTGCTGGTCCCACAGGGGACCCAATCTGAGGAGGCACTTTGGCCATCGGAGGGGCAGCAGGGAAGGGCTGGCCCTGGAACAAGGGCACAGGGAAAGGCGTGGTGGCCCCAGGGTGCCTGCTTTCACCCTTGGGCTGCTGTGGATCCAGGGCCACTGACCATCAGGCTACGATGTCGCCTTGTTTTTCTTTCATTGCTTTCATTGTTTCACCTATGTGTCCATATAGATCATTCGATGTTTATCGTCATTGGTCTCTGTCTGATTTGTATGGAAATCAGATCGTAAATTGCTATTATGGTTTTTAAATTTTCTTGCGGACGGTAGCATGTAAGAATTACGCCTGGGCCCAGCACCAGTGGCTCACGCCTGTCATCATAGCTTCTCTGGAGGCTGAGATCTGAGGATTGTGGTTCAAAGCCAGCCCAGGCAGAAAGGTCCATGGAACTCTTCTCTCCAATAAACTACCCCAAAAAGCCAGAAGTGGCACTGTGGCTCAAGAAGAATGCTTACCTTGAGCAAAAGAAGTTCAGGGATAGTGCTCAGGCCCTGAATCCAAGCTCTTGGATGGGCCCAAAAGAAAAATTTTACCTATAACAAAGAAAAGCTGGACATTTGCGAATAAACCCCCTTCAACGGGCACACGGCTGGGAGTCCCAGGGACCTGGAGAGGGACACAGGCCAACGTGTGGATGAGCCGGGACTGGCGCTTCAGAGCACGCTGGGCATGGTGCAGATAGAGGTTTGCTTAAAATGTTTATCTCAGTGACACTACTTACGATGTTCACGTGCAAGGAAATGATGTTTGAAAATGACTTTCTAGATTAAATCCATAAGAATATGACACAGAAACATAGTAGAATACACGGGTTACATAGCAGGCCAGCCCATAAGGTAGGAAGGGGAAGGCCTCCCTACGAATTGGAGTTGTACACAGCTGGCCAGGGAGAGGGAGGGGCAGAGAAGGCCAGAGTGGGCCAGCCCCCACCTGCAACATTAGGCAGCTGAGAGAATACCTCACTGCCGGTGAGGACAGCTCCCAACCAATCAGAAAAAGCAGCAATTACTGAAAGGAACTGAGGACAACTCCCAACCAATCAGAGAAAGCAGCCGTTACTGAAAGGAACTGAGGACAACTCCCAACCAATCAGAGAAAGCAGCAGTTACTGAAAGGAACTGAGGACAACTCCCAACCAATCAGAGAAAGCAGCGGTGACTAAAATGAACTGAGGACAACTCCCAACCAATCAGAGAAAGCAGCAGTTACTGAAAGGAACTGAGGACAACTCCCAACCAATCAGAGAAAGACTGAAATGAACTCTGGGAAATGGAGACAAGAAGTTTTTTGTTTGTTTGTTGTGTTTTTTTGTGGTTGTTTCTTTTTGTCTTGTTTGTTCATTTATGTGTCTTTGGGAGGGCAAAGGAGGCCACAGAAATGGAGGCACCAAGGGTGAACAAATACAGCAGTGGTGCTCATTGGACATTACGTGGAAAATGAACAACTTGTGGGTGGGGACGAGGGAAAATCCAGGAGAGAGCAAGGGAAAGGGTGACATTGTCCAAAAAGAAATAGACTCAGGCTGGGAAGGTGGCTCAGTGGTAGAGTGCTTGCCTTGCATGCAGGGAGCCCTGGGTTCCATTCCTCAGCACCACGTAAGCAGAAAAAGCCGGAAGTGGTGCTGTGGCTGAAGTGGTAGAGCCCTAGCCTTGAGCTGAAGAGCTGAGGGACAGTGCCCAGGCCCAGATTTCAGGCCCCATGACCGACTCCCCCCACCAAAAAAAATACTCATTACCTGACTTGTAGCTGTACAGCACCTTTATAACAATTTCTTTAAAAAAATCCAATCAAAGACTTGGCCCAAAATATGCAAAGCCACAAGAAATATGAAGAAAACAAAGTAACACAACTCATGCAAAACTCACTGACTCTAACAGAAAGTAGTCAGACTTGCAGACTTGAGCCACAGGCTTCCTCCTTTCTTAAAGCATTTAAAAACCAACTTGTTGGTTTTCTGTCCGCCCGTTTGAGTTGTAAATCCTGAGTTGTAAATCCTTTATCAGTTTTGCCAGTTAATACCTGAGGACTCTTTTTCTTAAGCACCAGAGTGTCATTTCGTTTAAATGAAAAGCAGCTGGGCAGGAGACTTCCCTCCTATCTCAAGCCTTATGTAGTGGAGTCCACCTTCACAGGCCCCTTGCCGAAGGCTGTGAAGCTTTGTCTTAAGGTCGTTTTCATCTGGGTAAAGGTGATTGGCTAACATGAATAGTCCAGTGGGTGGATTTAGGATGAATCCCGTTTCATAAGACTAGCCGTGGTTGGTCTAGAGAACATTGCAGTGGTGCTATGGCTATTTGGCTGGGTATAGCTGGGTGAAATTTGCCTTTGTAATCTCAGAGAGTGGCCTGGGATGGCCCGGAGTTCTGGTTAACGCACATTGAATGATAGATAGGCTGTTCCTGCCTTCAGGAAGAGGCTTCCTGGCCTGGCAGCCCTTTTCCCTTCCTCCGATCTTACACAATGGCATGATGTCACCTAAGGGAACTTCAAGTACTGACAGAGGGGACTCAGGGGCTTTCCAGGGGTGATTCTCCGGGGCCTAAACCCATCTTGTCTCCTCAGTCTCTCTCTTTAGAGCTCTGATTTATGTTCCATATTCAAGTCTGAAAGGCACATTCAGTGGGAAAGAGAGGTACTTTCCCCTGCTCCCGGCCTCCCCCAAGTAAACCCACAGCCCCAGGAGCTGACCTTACAGATCGCCATGCAGGAAAGGGACAGCCTGTTCATGGTTAGAGGAACATTCTAGAAGCAGAGCCAGAAGCAAGGGGGTGGGGGGATCAGGGAGGAGTAGGTGCTTGCTTGGCAGGAGTTCGGGGAGGGCAGGGTGGGAAGCTGGGCAGCGCTGCTTCCCCATCGCACGGGGACTTCTCTGGGCCTGGGGGAGGGGAGCTGTCATTCCCTTCCTGTGTCTGGGTTCTAACACTGTTTGTTTGCTGTCAGGAAAGGAAATGGGAGGCGGAGGGGGACGAGTCTTGCTGGGCGCCCTGGGCAGGAAGCACGGGTCAGGGTTAGAGCAGCACCGTGCTCGCACTCACGCTGGGACCAAAGGTCCTCCCTTGAATCCCCTTCCAGCCCCTCCCCAGAGACCTAAGGCTGCGGGTGCCCCGGGTGCGCCACCATCTTGTTGCTCCTTGCTCTGCAGGACTGCGGCTGGAGAGCGAGGGCCCAGCTCCCCGCGCGAGCACCCCAAGGTGGCCTGGCGGTGCTGTGCTTCACCCTGCAGCTCAGACAGAGGACGCGGCCTCTTGCCCTTGACAGGTAAGCAGGCCTGGCGTGTTCAGGGCCCATGGTCGGTGGGGAGGAGAGGGGGACACGAATGGAATGTTTGGGAAGACAAGAAACACTCTGAGCTCTCCTAAACCGGTCTGGAAAGCCAGCTTGGCCGTTGCTTTGATCAGAGAAGGTGTCCTGGAATAAAACGAGGCTCGTGGGGGTTTCGATTGGGAAGGTGCATTTTGTGCTTCTGTGTGAAGCTCCTGCCTAAGCCAGACAGTCAGCAGGCGGGCACCGTGTCCCTGCCACACAGCTGGCCCTGGAAAGAGAAGAGGGGCCCCGCTCTCCATTCTGAATGAACGTGGCACGGTCCCTCAGATCTCGGAGTCCCCCAGCCCCTTTCCTGCTGGCCTATGGCTCCTGTTAACTTGCCAGTCTGCCGCATTTCTGGATACTCAGTTGCTGGCATCTGCCAAAGAATTGATTCCTAATTCCACGTCTCCCTTTGCAGCCCGCACCCCTCAGCAGCGGGCTGGGGAGAAGCATGTTTGCGAATGTTGCCAAAGTTTCCTTGGCTTTGGGAACAGCCACGTTGTTCCATCCTGGTCACAAAATAGACCCAAGTCAGCAAAAGCAAGGCACTGCTCCACCTGAAGTGTGTCACTCCACAGCAGTGCCTGCCCCTGCACACCCGCAGGCTGAATAACCCTCCATTGTATTGTGCAAACGGGCTCCTGCTGTGTTAGCTTCCAGGGCAGCCTTCTCCTGTCACTACATTTGCACGCTGACTGTGGAGTGACAGCACTGAATGGGGTTTGCCAGAAGGTTCTTCTCTACTTATCTGGAATCATCTGGGTTTCCTGAAGTAAAATCAAAGAGAAGAAAGAGGTGAAAGGAGCCCCCTTGGGGCTGGCGGGAGGAGTTGAGTTAGTCCCTGGCAAATCACTTGATGAGGCTTCCTAAAAGTTTAATCCGAATTTAATACCAACCTTAATCACATCACAAAGGAAGGAAAGAGAATGATTAAAAAGACACGGGCATGCAAGCAACTTCAGAACCAGCACAGCTGCCCTGAGGATTATTACTACACTGCCATCATCTTTAGCACATCCACATCTTGAGCACTAGCAACCATGTTGCTCTCAAGTCTCAGAAAATGTCAATGAAGTCAAAAAGATGTCATAGATTTGGGGGGAAAAATTAGTAAAATGCAGGGTAGAGTTTGCCAGGGACAAGAAGAGTGCATGGGAAATGGTGGTTCTTCTCTGAAAGAAGGGCCGGGTGGGGGTGGGGGGAGAAGGAAATGAGAAGAGGGCAGACTAGAGGGGAGAAGGAAAGGGAGAGGAAGACGTCTTCATATCGTCTGCTATCGTGAAAATAGATGGTTTCCCTAATGAGACCTCGGAAAACCCACTGAATGAATAAAAAAATGGGCCAAAAATGTGCTAAAAGACAAGATAACAGAAGAAACCTAAATAGCAAATAAACTAGGAAAGCTTTTTAATGATAGGCAATAAACGTGTACATTAAATCTATCAATACATGCTTCTTAGGTCAAAAAACAAACTTTACAATTTAGGGGCGGGGGAGGGAAGGGGAAGGAGGGGCGGGGAGGGGTGTAGTTGTGGAGATGGGAGAGAAGGGATGGTAAGGGAAAAACAAAGGAGAAGGCAACAATGCTTGGTAAGAAAGTACTTGTTACCTTGCTCATTTGATTATAACCCCTATGACAGTACTTTCACAATAAAAAAAACTTATTAAACAAAAAAAGACACACTTCTCTGTGCCCATAAGGGTAACAGCAGATTCAGCCTGCAATCACTGAATGCCTGGGCAGATCTGGGGGAATTCTCCTGGGTGGTGGGTGCAAATGTGAGTTAGAAAAACCCACTTGGAAGCAAACTTGACAGCACACAGGCCAGCAGAAAACCAGACTCCAGATAAACTGTCACGTGTGTGTGCCAAGAGATTCTGTCATTTGCAGTACTCTTTGTAGTGACAAGTCTTTCAGAATAGCTTAAATGTTTATTCCTAAAGAACTGGATAAATCATTGCATAAATTATACCATTTGTGTAAACATTTAAAGTATAAAACAATACTACAAATGGTCTTTGGATATCCATGTATACACACATGTATAGATATATGTATATGTCTGTATATATATGTATATATACATATATATGTATATATATATACAAACAAGAATGTTTGAAAGCCATTTCTGAAGGGCAGAGGAAGGAGAAGGAAACTAGAGTTTAAAAAATTATAAAAGACATGTATCTGTAACGTTTCAAGTTTTCAGTCAAATGGAATGGCTTCAGTAAAATGCCCAAGTACTTAAATTTGTTTGTTACAAATAGCGGGTATTTGTTTTTAGTATTCTGTGGGTTTCTTCACTTTGAAAGTTTGCTTTTGGCCAGGACCCTGTGGCTCATGCCTGTAATCTTAGCTACTTAGGAGGGGGAGATCTGAGGATCTCAGTTCAAAGCCAGCCCAGGCAGAAAAGTCCATGAGATCCTTATCCCCAATTAACCAACATAATCCAAAGTAGAGGCACGGGTCAAGTAGTAGAGTGCTAGCCTTGAGCAAAAAAGCTAAAGAAGAGTGCAAGGCTCTGAGGTGCAGCCTAGTATATGCACACACACACACATACACACACACACACACACAAATTGTTTCATAAATTCTGCACTATTGAGCCAGGTGCCCATGGCTCACGCCTGAAATTCTAGCTACTCAGGAGGCTGAGATTTGAGGATCGCAGTTCAAAGCCAGCCTGGGCAGGAGAGTCCATGAGACTCTTTTTTTTGTTTTTGGTTGGTCATGGGGCTTGAACTCGGCCTGGGCGCTGTCCCTGTGCCCTTCAGCTCGAGGCAAGTGCTCTATGGCTTGCGCCACAGCGCCACTTCTGGTTTTCTAGTGGTTAATTGGAGATAAGAGTCTCATGGACTTTTCTGCCTGGGCTGGCTTTGCACCATGATCCTCAGATCTCACCCTCCTGAGTGGCTAGGATGACAGGCGTGAGCTACCAGCTCCGGCTCATGAGACTGCTAGAAGGGGCACTGTGACTTAAGTGGTAGAGTGCTCACCTTGAGCTGAAGAGCTGAGGGACAGCGCCCAGGCCGAGTTCAAGCCCCACAACTAACAAAAAAACAAAAACAAAAAACAACAGTAAAAACAACAATAAAACCTACTGCACTTTTAAAACAAACCATAGAGTCAGAGTTTATCTTAGTGAGAGCTGTGTATTGTACATAGGCCTTCCTAATTACTGCTTCCTTATTCCTTTTTTTTTTTTTGGTCTGGTCGTGGGGCCTGAACTCTGGGCCTGGGCGCTGTCCCTCAGCTCTTCAGCTCAAGGCTAGCGCTCTACCACTTGAGCCACAGCGCCACTTCCGGCTTTTTTCTTTTTGCTTATATGGTGCTGGGGAATCGAACCCAGGGCCTCAGGCATGCAAGGCAAGCGCTCTACCACTGAGCCACCTTCCCAGCCCCTGCTTCCTTATTCCTAACACCCAAAAGAATGGCATTTTGCTATGCTTCACTTAAATCAAGTGCTTATGCCAGTGTGTGTACCAGTTGCTGGCAAAATCTGTAGGCATACAAAAAATGTAGTTATTGGGAGATTAGGACTGCAGGGACAAGCAGAAAAGATGTTTGACTAAAACTAGAATGGGAAATGAGTTTATCTTCTCCTTGTCAGTGATGTTGATTCTCTCTACAGCATGCACCAGCTCGTCACCAAAATGCTCAGCGTAGGGAGGTGATTGTGAGTTCTCTTCCATTCTTTCCAGTCCTTGAAGGGAGTCCCTGGTCCCCAATTCCACCCTCCCATTGGAGACCACCTTATGCCTGCCCCTGGAATGTTCCAGAACTGGACATCTCTAGGACGATAAACAAACCAATTGTTTCCAGCCAGGCACTTTTTCCCCTTTATTCTGGCAAGTTTAATTACTTCGGTTCTAATTTTTAACAGCGGAAGGCTTTCCTCATTTCATGTTTTCAGCTTGTGGGTGGGGGGGGCGTTTACATAGCAGAGCATTTCGTGCTTTGGGGGGGCTGAGGAAGAACAATGGCGGCATATTGCCATAGCATCACCCAGCCTGGCCTTGTCCCTGCGATTCTATGGATTTTGGAGAGTCAAATGTGAGTTAGAAAATGAGCAAGGAGGAGCTGGGAAGGTGGCTCAGGGGTAGAGTGCTTGCCTTGCATGCATGAGGCCCTGGGTTTGATTCCTCAGCACCACGTAAGCAGAAAAAGCCGAAAGTGGGGCTGAGGGTCAAGTGGTAGAGTGCTGGTCTACAGCTGAAGAGCTGGAGGACAGTGCCCAGGCCCAGAGTTCAGGCCCCACAACTGACAGAAAAAAGAAAAAAAAGAAAGAAAATGAGCAAAGAAATGGCCTGCGTCAGGAGAATTGTCTGGATTGAGGCAGGCCCTGGCACTTTCCCTACGGAGGATGCCTTTCATTCCTTTTCTGTTCATGTTCCAGAAGGGAATGGAAGGGTTTCCGAAGAGCAGCTATGGAACAATGGCTGAAGGTAAGAAAGCCTTGGAGTTCTGAGGAGGCATCTCTGTTCCCTCTCTACCTGGGACCCCGCCCTAAACACAAGGACAGAACCCATTACTTTACAGCCAGGCAGAAAAAGACAGCAACCATTTGTCCCCTATCTCCTCAACCCCTAAGCCTGAGACATCTTCCTCCCTCCCTCCCTTCCTCCCTCCCTCCTTCCCTCCCTCCCTCCCTCCCTCCCTTCCTCCCTCCCTCCCTTCCTTCCTTCCTTCCTTCCTTCCTTCCTTCCTTCCTTCCTTCCTTCCTTTTTTTTCTTCCTCCCTCCCTCTTTTCCTTCCTGCTGGGAATTAAGTCAAAGCTTTTTAGCAGATTCCCAGGAGAATACAGTGATCTACAAGTATGAAGAACGTTCACTTATATGGCATTAATGCTCGCTTGTTTGTTTTTACAGGAAGGGTGGAAGACAGTGGATTGGAAGCACCTTCTTTGAGGATCATCCTGGTGGGAAAAACAGGCAGTGGGAAGAGCGCCACAGGGAACAGCATCCTCTGCCGGCCAGTGTTCGAGTCCAGGCTGGGGGCCCAGACAGTGACCAGGTCCTGCCGGAGAGAGCTCGGGACGTGGAACGGCAGGCACATCCTGGTGGTTGATACGCCCTCCATCTTTGACTCACAGGTCCAGACCCAGGAGATGGTGGAGGACGTCGGGCAGTGCTACCTGCTGTCTGCCCCTGGGCCCCACGTGCTGCTGCTGGTCACCCAGCTGGGGCGCTTCACGGCTAAGGACGTGGAGGCGGCGAGGAGGGTGAAGGAGGTGTTCGGATCAGAGGCCATGAGCCACACGGTGGTCCTCTTCACCCACAAGGAAGACCTGGGCGCTGGCTCCTTGGACGATTACGTGGCCTGCACAGACAACGTCCACCTGCGGGGCCTGGTGCAGGAGTGTGGGGGGCGGTACTGCGCCCTCAACAACCGGGCGTCCGGGGAGGAGCAGCGCACGCAGCTGCAGGAGCTCATGACTGTGGTGCAGGCGCTGGAGGGCTGGCACCAGGGCTCCTTCCACAGCAACGACCTCTTCCTGCAGGCTCACTTGCTGCAGCAGGGCGGAGACGGGGTCCTGCCCGAAGAGCGCAGGCGCTACCTGCGCAGCGTGAGGCAGCACCTGGACAGACAGAGGTGGGCGCTGCGGGCGGAGGAGGGCAGCTGCTGCTGCAGGGCGGTGCTCACTCTCAGAGCCTGGATGGCTTCGCACCTGCTCCTCACTGCCCTCCTGCTCCTGTGCACCTTGATCGTTATTGCTGTCTTCATCGATATGTGTATCACGCAGGGGAAGTGAGCGTGCCCACTTGATTTCTAGAATGAGTTTTCTTCTGGTTCTCCGTCAGTGTCCAGGTGTAGGACACACCCTCTGCATCACAGCTGTCAAACATTTTCCTGCAGGTGCTTTTAAGTCAATAAAACTCAGAGGAAACTACAGCTACCAGCACAACTATGCTTATTGCAGCATTATTTACCATAGCTAAGATATGGAACCAACCCTGATGCCCCTCAGTAGAGGAATGGATCAAGAAAATGTGGTATATATACACAATGGAATTCTATGCCTCCATCAGAAAGAATGGCATTGCCCCGTTTGTTAGGAAATGGAAAGACTTGGAAAAAATTATATTAAGTGAAGTCAGCCAGCCCCAAAGAAACATAGGTCCCATGGTTTCCCTTATTTGCAACAACTAGTATATGTCTGAGATAAGCAGAAAAGGTCAGATAAGTTGATGTTAGGGGGATGAACCCCAACATAAGGACTCAAATGTTTTTTATTTCATGTGATTGCTTCTAAAATATTTATAAGATTAAATCTTTGTTGCTTTGTATGTCCCTCCCCCACAGTATAACCCCTGCTTTCACTGTATTTGATGGTGGTATAATTTGTGGAGGGGAAGGGCAAAAACAAATTGTTTAAATAGGTATTCAGGTGGACCCATTGCAACAATGAGATGTACAAGTCGTTATGTTGAAAAAGGAACTTTACAACTTGGCAGGGGGGTGGGTAGGGGTTTGGAGGGGGAGTTGAGAAGGGATGGGAAGGGGAAACAAAGGAGGAGGCAACAATGCTTGATAAGAAATGTACTCATTATCTTGCCCATGTAATTGTAATCCCTCTGTAAGGTATTTTCACAATAAAAAAAATTTAAAAACACAGAGGAAAATAGTTACCGTGTGTGTGTGCGTGCATGCATGCGTGCGTGTGCGTGTGCGTGTGTGTGTGTGTGTGTGTATGTGTGTGTGTGTGTGCCAGTACTGGGGTTTGAACTCAAGGCCTAAACCCTGACCCTTAGTTGAGTTTAGTTTTGTTGTTGCGCAAGGCTAGCATTCTACCACTTAAGTCATAGCTTAAGTTAAACAGAGCTGAGAGTCTCATGAATTTCACTGCCCTGGCTGGCTTTGAACCTCAGTCTTCAGATCTCAGCCTCCTACGTAGCTAGGATTACAGGCATGAGCCCACTGGCGCCCAGCACCTTCTGTGTTTTGGGTTGTCAACGTTGCAGATTTGAAGTGAGGGAAGTTCAGCGCACGGCTGCTGGGCTGCCTCGCTCTGCACCCAGCCTTCTACCAGCCAGGATATCAAGAGGGGAAACATGCTGGGTGCACAGCTGGTGACCTGTTCTTCGTTTGTTCATCAACATGGCCCAAACTCACGGTGGCCGGTTGGAAAAGATGCTACTCCACCACCCCTCCACCCCTAAGAGAGGAGGAGGAGAGTCTGCGGAGAGAAAGGGATCTGGAGGGTTCGAAGAAGATGGCCAGAGGATTCTGAACCTGAGAGGGAGGAGAGCCAGGGGTGCAGGCATGAATGAGCCTCTGGCCCCACGGGAAACAGGATCAGCGGCCAGGAAACGCAGGGGCTGCTCAGCCCTAGAGCAGAGATGGTGAAGGATCAGAGAGCAGCCATCTTGGGCTCTGTGACTTCCACAGTGGATTCTTGGCCTCATAATTGCTCCAGTAGGCAAAAGCTACCGTGAGCAGGAGGCTGCGTCCTGGCAAGCCTTGCTGAGCATTGCCTTTTGGACTGCATGTAAGCTTCCTAGGTGAAGGTGAAGACGCCCCTCTGAACGCCTCAACCACTGAAACCATTGATTTGCTCACGGCTGCAGTGGGCACCAGCTCTCTGTCTCAAAGTTTGATGTGGAATGTGTGGGAAGGGAGCGGTCCATGCTCCTGTGATCGTCGGAGAAGACAGTGGAGTGAGCTGAGCAATAGTTGAGACTCTGGAAATGAAACCAGAAGCAGGTTTCCTGGAGCTCCTCTGCCACACCTTCTAGTTTGCTTCCTCCTCCTCCTCCTCCTCTTCTTCTTCTTCTTCTTCTTCTTCCTCCTCCTCCTCCTCCTCCTCCTCCTCTTCCTCCTCCTCCTTCTCCTTCTCCTCCTTCTCCTTCTCCTTCTTCTTCCTCCTCCTCCTCCTCCTCCTCCTCTTCCTCCTCCTCCTCCTCCTCCTCCTCCTCCTCCTCCTCCTCCTCCTCCTCCTCTTCTTCTTCTTCTTCTTCTTCTTCTTCTCCTTCTCCTTCTCCTTCTCCTTCTTCTTCCTCCTCCTCCTCCTCCTCCTCCTTCTCCTCCTCCTCCTCCTCCTCCTCCTCTTCCTCCTCCTCCTCCTCCTCCTCCTCCTCTTCCTCCTCCTCCTCTCCTTCATGCCCTGTGAGAGAGACCCTGGGCTGCAGGTTGTGGGTGGGTGAGGAAGTCTCTGAGTCTGGATGAGTCTTGGGATCTCCCTCAGGGCATCTCCGTCACTGCTGTGTGGGTACTGAGACTTCCTCTGGGGCTCAAGCATCTAGCCTAGACCTGATCCTTTACCAAGGGGACGGGAGGGGCAGGTCAGCTGTCAGGCCCAGGGATCCCTGAAATTCAAAGGCCTGGGAGGGCTCTACCCAGAACCTCCCTAATGTGCTCTGTCTCCTTCTGGTTTGCTTCAGTTCAGTGGCTGGAGACAGTGAATTTAAGCCCCAGTACCAGGGTACACACACACACACACGTGGACTCACATTGGCATGGGCAACACACAGAGCGAAGGCTGCAGATCTTGATCATGAGAGAAACCTCAAGTTGGTCATTAGGAGACTGGATCCTGGTTTTGTTTTTTGTTTCTGTCGGTCGTGGGGCCTGAACTCTGGGCCCGGGTGCTGTCCCTCAGCTTTTCAGCTCAAGGAGAGCGCTCTACCACTTGAGCCACAGCGCCACTTTATTGGAGATAATGGTGGTTTATTGGAGATAAGAGTCTCATGGACTTTCCTGCCCCAGCTGGCTTTGAACCGCGATCCTCAGACCCACTGGATCCTGGCTTGAGTCGTGGCCCCTCTGGCTCTCTAGGTTGAGACGGGAATGGGCATGTCTTGGAATCCACTGAATGCCCTTTGCGTTATCCTCCATGTGCATATACTTCACTAATTCTTTTATTGTTTTATAGACATATATTGTTTTTCTTATTGATTCAAGAGATTGCATCAATTAGAGCTTGGCAGAGTAGCTCAAGTAGCAGAGTGCCTACTTAGCAAAGAAAGCCAACACAAATCCCAAAACTCCTCTCCCTGCCATAAAAAAAAAGCACTGTACATTAGACTTGCATTAGAGAGGCTTGTCCACCACATCATTCGTGCCCATTGACAATCATTTCCCACTCTTTTCCTCTCCGTATTTAGAGTTCTGTGACTATTTGGGCCTATGTTTCATCTTGTGTTCCCTGGTGGAGTTCTGGGCAGGCCTTCACCGAGACTGGAAAAAGAACCATCAGCAATAAGAAAAGGGGAAATACTCTCTCTTCTTACAGCTGGAGAGGAAGACCACAGACATTATTCTAACACGACTCTGGAAATAGCTCGCATTTGAAAACGGTGGCTGCGCCTTATGAAAATAATCCTTCTTCCCTAAAAGTCTAAAGGATTTCCGTTTGTGTTTATTAGTGTGTTTTCTTGTAGTGTTATACATTGAAATCTGGTGAATAGGTAGGTCTAAATACCTACGTGGTTTAATGGGCAATTCCTAAAAATTATATGTGTGTCTTTTTCCACAGAAGGAAACAAAATAGCCAAAGAATAGGCAAAATCTTTTCTTCAAGGGCTACAATAGGCTAACTAAACTGTCAACTGTCATCAACTGCCGTGTCTCTACCGCCCCCAGCTGTTCACCTTTTGAATTTGCTATGGCAAATTCTTTTGGTTTTGGTTCTGGTTCAGTGTGGAAATGTTCATGTTTTCTTTATGACTCCTGTTGTTCTAAGAAAGCTCTCCTTCCTTATTCTTTTATTTAACAATAGATTCATCTGGCCCCGGAAGAATCTACATGTGAATGCTGATTGTGTTGTAACCTATCTATTTTGAGGCCAGGCCTCAGACTCGCTCCTCCACTTCTGAGTACTGGGGTGGCAGGTGTGTTACATCCTATCCAGCCGGCATATGAAATTTTAGAGACATTTTATTTATAATTTCCAAAACACAGCAGCCGCCAAAGATGGTCTTCAGCAGGGGGGTAGATACATAAACTGTGATGCGTGCCAACACTGAGAAGAAATGTGCCATGAGCCAACTGAGAGGAGACGTAAATGCCTACTGCTGAGTGGAGAAACCCATCCGACAGCGCTGTGCACTGCGTGGTTTCAATTCCATGACACTCAAGACGCCAGTACCATGCACACAGACAGGAAGTGGCCTGACTGCCAGGGTTTGGGAAAAGGGAGGAGTGACACGTGGGGTGCGTCCAGGGACACGTGGAGTGTGGAGCTGCCGGTAGGTGGGTAACGCTGAGCGTGTTGGGATGGATAACATAGGAGGGATAACACTGAGAGTGAGCCCTTATGTAGCAGGAGAAACTGGGGGCAGAAGGAAGACGGGGTGGGGACTCTCAGTACTTTCCACTCATTTTGTCCACATACCCAAGACTGTTATTAAAAGTAAAAACTTCTGGCCAGGTGCCGGTGGCTCACACCTGTCATCCTAGCTACTCAGGAGGCTGAGATCTGAGGATTGCGGTTCAAAGCCAGCCAGGGCAGGAAAGTCTGTGAGACTCTTATCTTCAATAAACTACCAGAAAACCAGAAGTGGCGCTGTGGCTCAAGTGGTAGAGCGCTTACTTTGAGCTGAAGAGCTGAGGGACAACGCCCAGGCCCAGAGTTCAAGCCCCACAAGTGACAAAAATAAATACATAAATAATTAATAAAATAAAAGCTACTCTAAAAAGAAGAAAACGAAAGAAGATGGGATAGGTAAGAGGGAGTGAAGGGCAGCAGGAAGAGAGAAGGTAAAAGGGATGAGGAGGAAAGTCGCTAAAGGAGGTTAGTATGGAAGAGAGGGCGGGGACAAACAGGCACATTTCCTCCGGTGAACTCCATCTCTCAGGACTTATAATTTGTTGAGGGGACAGCTGGGGCAGTCAGGCTGTCATCGGATAACGATGAGTAATGCCAAGAGAGGGAGCAAGTGCTAAATACTTGTAAAAGCCTGTTTAAAAGTCTCACATGCGATGCTGCCACCCATTGCCACAGGCCGACTTTGGTGGTG